CCCTAACAGTTCACCCTGGACAGTGATGAGGTTATGGCTTGGAAAGCCATTTTCCTCAAACTTACTAGCAGGTGGGGCTATGTTAATTTGGTTTAGGGGGAGACTACTAGTATCAACATTCTACTACATAATTTTACCATGCGCAATGGGGACTGATCCTTTAGTCCTTGTCCTACTACTTCTTCAAGCTTAGGTTTGCCACCAATCATCACCTCATTTTCTTTTGGAGACACATGTTCTATCCTTGTTCTTCCACTTCCCGCTTCCCCCGGTAATTACCTGGCACCCGCAAAAAGCCAAGCTTTTCAGGCCTTTCTTCACTTCATTGGGTCAGAACGGGTCACTCTTCAGCTGCTCTCGTCGTTCGTCCTTGCTCTTGGTCGTCCAGTTCCGGAGGTGCCCATGATCTCTTGGACCCCCCTGCGCTCCTTGGAGCAACTGGGGCCCTTGGTGCTCTTCGTGGCACTGCAGCTTCATCAGGCGGGGTGGCTGGCATCGGGTATCGTGGGGAGCCAGGCCGGAACGGACTTGGATCCTGTGCGCTCAGCAGCATGTGAAGCCCAACAACCCGGCGGTTTTGCGTTGGCCAAGTGCACCAAGTCAGGATTAACACGCCAATGACACAGAAAGCACACTTGATGTCACATATACCTAGCACTTCCAACGGGTGCCCAATGGAGACCTGTAAGTAGGGTAGGGTAGTCTATTGGACACCCAGACAGGATGATCCTGGTAGATTTTTAGAGGTTTTTAGATGTTACTGATTCATGACCTGTTGCAAAGGCATTAGTCTTGACCTTCCCCCCACAGCTGGCCTCGGGACCCGTTAGGTCTTCCGGCGGCTGCCGCTGCAGAGAGTGAAGTCTTGGAGCTTTGGCGCCCAGGTCGGCGCCATGGCAGCCTTGGCGCTGGCCATTTTGTGGCCTTCAGGTGCTTTGTAATCACCGGAGATGAGGGAGTGTGCCACGTTTTGGCCCATTTTTTCCACTTCCTCAGCCGCGGCACCGAAGGAACATGGATTCAGCCACGACCTTGTTCCGCACTGTGAAGCGAACGGCAGGCTTCTTCAGCCCCCTCTCCGTGCGCGTCTCGGCCCTGTTCGTGAAGCACACCAAGACAGGGAACCCTCTGGTGGATTCTGTGGCGGAGCATCAGCCAGGCTCTGCGGATGCCTATTGGAACTACTTGGGCCACTGGGCAGAGCCCAGACACGACCGGTCTGGGACTGGCATATTTTGCCTACATTGACCCGTGAAATCAACCGCCGCAATGTATGTAAATATACCTGGATTTTTTGGGGGAGGAAGGAGCGCAGGTTGGAGAGCTACACTCCGACAAACCTATTGTATCGAAGTGGACCAAACCAACTGTTTTGATCCAACGAGCGATCGTATCAGTTACCTGTGGATGTTTGGCAACTCGATCAGCTAGACTGCTGGACCTTGAAAGTATTTGAAAGATTTGAAAGTCCCCGATGGCCTCGAGAGAGCTGCGTCCTTGGAATTCTGAGCGAGCCCATGGACTTTGTTAATCTTTGTTCACCCAAATAAATTCCCGGTCCGTGGGCTAGCCTCTTGCCCAAATGCAGCAGCACACGAACCCTCCTCCTTCCTTGCTCCCTTGTTGTTTTTTTACTTTATGTCTTGCAGATTCTTGCAGCTTGAAGAAAGCTTGAACAGCTGAACAGGGCACAGCTGCTTTTGCAAAACCCC